TGTGTCTGAGTGGGGTTTTCATGTTAAACTGCGGCATGGTATCTCAGTGGGCTAGCGCTATAAAATCGGCATAAGTCCGGTCTGGTACAAGCAGCGACACACACACGCACACACACGCACACACACGCACGCACGCACGCGCACACACACACGTGCATATCAGTGCAATAATATTGGACGCACCAGTAAGCCACATTTCACCTCACTTTAATTCTTTCAACAGTGACACGTGCTCAGGCAAACGAGCATTTTCACCACTGAGTTGCAAATCAAAGAAACAACTAAGAAAACACATGTTATCTGGATCTTTGTAAAATAGAAAAATGATGGCAACCTCTGTCCCAAGATATGCGACAAGAGCGATTATTTCGGATTTCTAATCGTGAATATCCCCATTATGTCGAGCAATATGTGTTGTCCTTAGCCTTTCTGACCACCAGTGCCATCTATGTGTCGAGTGTATCTACTGTTTTCTCTGGACACCGCAGACCCATATATATATTTTTTCATTGAAGTTTACACGATGTAGAGCTTTTCCATTGGACGAGAGGTCGGTCACCTAGTGTATGAACGACACAATTTGACGTTCATACGTTTTTCACGAGACCGTGTTCTTGAAATGACGTAAACACTGACGGACTACTTCCACATTTCTGGGGAAACCCCTGGGAATTCCCTAGTACGAATCCATACAGAAGCGTTCTTGCTGATTATTTAGACCCTTTAATCTTAAATCAGCGTTTTAGTATACATTGAGAAACGTCAGAGAGTTTGACTGCATGATCGCTCACGAATATCCTCGCTACGACCCATCCAAGTGAACAAAACGAAGCCATGCACATATTGACTCGATCCGTGTCTAGGCTGACAATGGCAGCCTACAGCAATCTATGAATTTACATTAGTATCTATTTGACACATATCTAATCACCTTTCAGTGATCGGCCAATTGATCAATGATGACTAAAACATGTAACCGCCACAGGTTCAGTAACAACTTCGGAAATCTCTTCCGTCACGTTTATCGTGTCGGCCATTTTGACGTCTTGTACTTGATGTAAATGTATTACGACGCGCTGTTTTTTAACTGACTTTCTGAGGTGTTCTGAACAGACCTTTCTCATCTAATGTTTCTGAAGAGCAAGTTGTGCATACATACGCTTAGTCAACTCTCTTTTTGAGGAACTATTTTATTCCGTGATAAAGATGGTTATGGTATGGCTGTCAGTGTAAACATGAAGTCACACATACTAAATGAATTCTAGACCTACATCTTTTGAGGTAAGAAACTGGAATAAAATTGTAAGAATTGACTTTCAATTTGGGTGAGTTCATTGGAGTATGAACCTTCATAGAATGAGGGTCAAACATTAATTGTATGAATGTCGTCGCAGTTTAACATGACTACCCCACTCAGACACGGTATACTGACTGCGAGCTGACCAGTCCATGTTTTAGCCCCTTAATGTCGAGCGCCAGACAGGGTAACAAAAAGTACCATCTTTTGGTATGACGCGGCCGGGGATGAAACCCCTAACATTTCGCTCTTCAGGTGAACCCTCTACAACTAGACCATGGAGGCGGTCTCAGGGCCAAGGTGACATTGATGGAAGATCTTTATCAAATAAGCATGGACTGAGCAGTGTAGGGATCAGGAAGTGAACAGTAGGCATCGCTGGAGACATGTCATCGTGAACCATACCAGTCGATGGTGGCTTAAGGAATGCTTACCAGATCTTACTATCCACCACATATGGAACAAAGATAAACCAAGGTTTGTTTGTCGAATATCTAATTCTGATTGTTGGTGACAACTGTGCCACAGGCCTTGGGACCTTGGAAGAAACTCAGAAATCATGCCCAACCATGATGGTCAACCATGATGAGTGAGTGAGTGAATATGGTTTTACGTCGCTTTTAGCAATATTCCAGCAATATCACGGCGGGGGACACCAGAAAAGGGCTTCACACATTGTACCCATGTCGGGAATCGAACCCGGGTCTTTGGCGTGACGAGCGAACGCTTTAACCACTAGGCTACCCGACCGCCCCTCAACCATGATGAAGTCAAGACACCGAAGGAATTATATGTTCCTCTTTCAGCAAAGATATTTGTACTAAGAGGAAAATTGTTGAAGCATGCCAAGGGACTTGGCGGCTATATTTGAGATGAGTACTTTAGCCAACTAGTACTTTAATCACCCAGCTTGGCACGAGTGCTCTTCCTTAGTTCGACGACCAAAAGGGCACATGTGTGTAAACGCAGGCACCAAGCTTGAGGACCATCACCAAACATCCCATGGACATTAAACACAGTCATCCCCAGTGCTGATGTTTCCGACTGAATAATGTATCAAAAGCACTGAATACACAATCATTGGTCATTGTCTGTATCTTGAGATCTCTTCAATACAACCATGTATACATTAACTATTGAAAACAATTATGTTAACACCATGCTGATTTGTCAACAGATTGAAGTTTGTGTTGAGAACAGATAGATTATTTTAGAAAGAAGACACAGCAATAAATATGAAACAAGAACATGCAGTTTATATTATAGAAACCAGATCACAATCTTTATTTTCTGTACAATTGTTATTGTGACCAAGATTGTTTTCTGGGGATACATATCCTTGTATATTGTATATATGTATATCTTGCCATACGCCTTCACTGGGTTATATGAAGAATACACGCACGTAACGACAATGACACCTTGTAGAAACACAAGACGTTGATAATAAGAATGATGTATTCCTTGAGGTATAATGAATGTGGAATTCTGAGAAACTCACAAAATAAAACTTAGAACTTGAATTTACTCTGCTGAAACCAGAGCACAGTGTACAATTCAATCTATATCATTGAAATCTTAGAAAGAACAAGCTTTTTCTTTTTTCGATTTTGCCAATCCAAGCCAAAATTCCGATTCAAGTCTAAGGTTACAAGATCCTTACTAACCAAAATGTTCTTGCGTTGCGTATCAGCGGTTTCGAATTGACACACAGAAAATCATCAAATAATTTTGTCACAATAAATACTGTCTGAAAATTGCTTCTTACGAATTTTAGGACCAGTTGGAACTTTAACTGCGACGGTATCAGCTATTTCAAAGTTTCTGGATTGTCTCTCACACCTTTCTTGTTGACGTTTATGTTTGGCTTGCGTATGTTTCTTGGAACAGTTCCCACAGACACTCCAGTCGTTAGGTCTGGACACGAGTAAAAAGCCAACACGAATTCTGATAACACTTTCTCCAACTACTAATCACTGGTTGCAGCTTTCACCATAGATCATTTCCAAGTTCTATGTGCCCTCTCTGCTGGATTTGTTTCAGGACGAGTAAATACAATACCCCAATGATTCATGAAGTCCTTAAATTTAAGACTTAAAAGTTGAACCTTTATCAGTGTGTAATGTATGTGGAGGTCCAAAGAGGGAAAACAGTTTTTCAAGTGGATACATCGCTGACGCAGAGGTCGCCGATCGTACAGGAAAAAGCAAGCACCATCGTGTCATCATCTCAACATGTCAATATGTACTCACAAGTGGTCTGACAAAGTCAAAGTTGATAACTTGCCAAGGCAATGATGCTACCTCGGATACACCAACAGGTCTACGTGACACAGCGTGAGGTCCTTCTATACATGCTGTTCAATAACGCATTCCCTAACTTGTCTGTGTAATGGACTTGTCAGCCATCCGTGCTAATTCCATATACGCATCACACCAAAATGGGCAAGATCATGAGCAAGCTTTATAACAGCATACTTTTTATCAGTTGACATGGCACACACTGGTAATTCCTCAGAATCTTCAATAGGAAATCTCCACTGAATGTCACTTGGAATGTTCTTTCCCAGGTATATATTCCACATCAAACTGATAATCTGAAAGCTCTAAATACTATCTGGGGCATTTAACAGATTGTGATGACATGATATATGTCAAAGGTCTGTGGTCTGTTTTGGATAAAGATTTCCTACAAAAAACATACTCTCTAACTTTCCTAATTGCCCAGATAAGTCCCTATGTACAGTGGAATAATTTCGATCAGTTTTTGATGACTTTTAAGCACAGCAAACAGGATAATCATTCTGAAAAAGTACACCAACTAATCCCGTTTTACTGGCATCTGTCTGAACAACAAACACTGAAGCATTAGGACTGTGTGTGGATGTGCTAACACTGGCGCCTTAGTGAGAACAGTCTTAACTTTGCCCACTTCCATGCCAAACACACGTAAGAGATTCAAACACGCGACTTTGTTGCAACACCATATCCGAAAGAAATGGGAATAAGTCAAAGAAAGTATGTACCCGAACCAAGACATGATCACTTGCTCCCATTTACCTCAAACAGGGTGATTTTTAAACTCGTTCAATACCTCTACCAGGACCTACGCCATCAGCTGAAACTCAGAAATATACTCTACACAATCCATAAAGGAATGACACTTGGAAGCTTTTAGAGTCACAGATATCATTAGGTCGAACACCCTCAGACAAATGCTCATCGGCCGTGGACGAATGGACACACACTTCGTCCAGATACACCAAAACATGACAACCCACTTCTTACAAGATGCAGAGTGCGTTGAGTGAGTGAGTATGGTTTTACGCCGCTTTTAGCAATATTCCAGCATTGTCACGGCGGGGGTCACCAGAAATGGGCTTCACACATTGTACCCATGTCGGGAATCGAACCCGGGTCTTCGGCGTGACGAGCGAAAGCTTTAACCACTAGGCTACCCGACCGCCCCACAGAGTGCCATGGAGCGATACAGGAACAGTTTTTAAGCCAAAAACCATTCGACGTCTCAAATGCAGTTAATGGTCTTGATTTTTTTTATCCAAAACAACCTGGTTATATTAGAGTTCATACCTTAGAATGCTGAAAAATTTAGAATGTTTGAATCTCACCAAGTCCCATTTGGGAAAACGTCCGTCAAGTAAATAGCCATTGAAATTTCGCAAAAATGCTGAAGTGTGAAGTGCTGTCATTTGGTGATGTTTTAATAATACCATCTCATGGTTACATACCGTGCTCATTTAGCAGGTTCTTGAGCCACGATGGCATTCTAACTACTGTTTTGGTCCGTTCACACTAAGCACACTTCCTGACTTGCTAACAAGGGGCACCTGCTTGTCTTTCAAGGCAGCTTGTTGGCGTCAACGTCTTGGAAGTGGAAGCTACTAATCCTTTCCATATATCTCATATCTTTACACGGCTTCTCTGATATTGTAATTCGCTGTAAAGAGTTCAATCCTTCAGTCATAGAATCGAAGTTCGAATCCCAGATTAATCCTCATTATGATCCTTGGTCTGTCAGCACCATACCATTATTTAAGACACCGCCCTTGTTGGTTTTAGGAAAGTGATAATCATTAGACCTGCATCACTTCAGGTGTTCCTCCAAATCAGGCGTACACGACATGATACAACTGAAATACTGTTCATATTGGCGTTAAACCAAACTTTCTTTCTGTATCCAGATACGTCAGTCGGCAATCCACATGACAGGGGTGTATTGTTTGTATGTTCTAAATCATGTTTCTCTTTTCTAGCTGTCACTGTTAATTTTCACACTTTTTGTGTTTCAAGACCAACGAGTTATCCTCTGTGGAGGCCAAATCGTACTGGTCAAGCGCGTTCCCATTCTGTCTGGTAGTGGTCTTTCTTCCCAACATGGACAGGAACCCAAATGTCACTGAGGCAAAGAACATCACAGCTGGAAATAGAGTGAGTGAAAACTTCATTCCCACAATCTTTATCTTTAAGTGGCATTTTAGAAGCAAAAGCAATTGTCGAGTATTTGCAACTGTTATTTTGAGTCGATTCAAGTTATTTTAATTCAGTGATCATTTTCAACTCCGAAACTTTATTCAATAAAGAACAGTAAGATGATTTTTTTGTAACTAAGATACTCACATGAGCATACGAACACATAGCTGTAATTGTTGGTCATTTCGAATATACTTCCTGTGAACAGAAGGTAATATGAACAAGTGAGTCAAGGATAAGTGTATATTTGACAATGATAAATAACCTCATGGCGACCAGGGTGTGAATAGGTTCCCTGCACGTTGCTTTTTGTGTAAGGAGATTACACTGAGGATTGGGTGGTCAGACTGATGACTTTGTTGATTGGGTGGGAATTATGGGATGAGTATCATGTCAACTACTGATTTGTCTGTATGTGTCTCGATTATTTACAGATTTATCTCAATATGCTCTTCATTATTGCACCCAATATAATTATCTCAATATACTAGTGATCATGACACCCAATATAATTATTTTAATATACTAGTGATTATAACACCCAATATAATGATTTTAATATACTAGTGATCATAACACCCAACAATATTATTTCAATATACTAGTGATCATAACACCCAATAATATTATCTCAATATACTAGTGATCATAACACCCAATAATTTTATAGGGGGGCACGAGTGGCTCAGTCGTCTAAGGCGCAGCGATTCGCTGTGCAGAGTTGCGTCCCCTGGACACACCAAAAACCTATGATTGTGGGTTCGAATCCCGGTTCACCCCGATTATGTTTCTAGGTTTGTCAGCACCATACCCGTGCTCATGGGTTTCATCGAAGTGGTAACGTCTGAGACCTGCATCACTTCGGGCTTTCCTCCCACATTAAGCTGACACGCCGTGATATAACTGGAATAACGTTAAAAGAGGCGTTAAACCCAACTCACTCACTCACTCAATAATTTTTATCTCAATATACTAGTGATCATAACACCCAATAATATTATCTCAGTATGCTAGTGATCAGAACACCCAATAATAGTATCTCGATAAACTTGTGAACATAACACCCAATAATACTATCTCAATATACTTGTGAACATAACACCAAATAATATTATCTCAATATACTAGTGATCATAATACCCAAAAATATTATCACAATATACTAGTGATCATAACACCCAATAATATTATCTCAATATAGTAGTGATCATAATACCCAATAATATTATCCCAATATACTAGTGATCATAATACCCAATAATATTATCTCAATATACTAGTGAACATAACACCCAATAATACTATCTCAATATACTAGTGATCATAACACCCAATAATATTATCTCAATATACTAGTGAACATAACACCCAATAATATTATCTCAATATACTAGTGAACATAACACCCAATAATATTATCTCAATATACTAGTGAACATAACACCCAATAATATTATCTCAATATACTTGTGAACATAACACCCATTAATATTATCTCAATGTACTAGTGATCATAACACACACAAATATTATCACAATATACAAGTGATCATAACATCCAAAAATATTATCTCAATATACGAGTGATCATAACACCCAATAATATTATCTCAATATACTAGTGATCATAACACCCAATAATATTATCTCAATATACTTGTGAACATAACACCCATTAATATAACTCAATGTACTAGTGATCATAACATCCAAAAATATTATCCCAATATACTAGTGATCATAACACCCAATAATATTATCTCAATATACTAGTGACAGTAACAAAAAATATCCTTTTCTTTCACCCACTTCTTGCAAAATGTTTACGCACACTTCAGTGGCTATCAGAGAGTGAGCGAGAACGGTCTTACACCTGCTGTCATAATCAATGATCCATTCATATTATTTTCAACGCTTTTTACACTCAATGGAATCTGTTTCGTCGGTGATCGAGATTGGTTGTTCTCTCGCGTTGATTTACATCTAATAGTCGGAGCGCCTTTGCAGGTGTCAGTATCAGCCACAGCACTGACAACGACACCATTTCTGGCGCTGACGTTTTACGTTTAAACCACTCGTGAAGTGAGGTGAAATGGGGTTTAACTTCGCGTCCAAGATTATTGCACTTATATTGCGACGTGCGTCCGGACTGATGCCGATTTTATAGTGCTAGCTCACTGAGATACCATACCACAGGGGGCGGTCGGGTAGCCTAGTGGTTAAAGCGTTCGCTCGTCACGCCGAAGACCCGGGTTCGATTCCCGACATGGGTACAATGTGTGAAGCCCATTTCTGGTGTCCCCCGCCGTGATATTGCTGGAATATTGCTAAAAGCGGCGTAAAACCATACTCACTCACTCACCATGCCACAGTTGAACATGATTACCCCACTCAGACACAGTATACTGACTCCGAGCCGACAAGTCCTTGTTTTAGCCCCTTAATGCCGAGCGCCAGACAGGGTAACAACAAGTACCATCTTTTAACGTCTTTTGTTATGCCGCGGCAGGGGATCGAACCCCGGATCTTCCGCTCTCCGGGCGGACGCTCTACCATTAGACCACGGAGGCGGTCTTCCCTGAATCGAAACAATGACAATGCTTACCAGCGATAGGTGGTCCGATGAGATATCCAATACCCAGGAAGAACATGACAGCTCCGTAAGCTATGGCAAAATGCTCTACTCCAGCGATATCTAACGATATTGTGCTTTGGAGGGCAAACACACCTCCGGTATAAATTCCAAGAAGTGCCCCATAGGTCAGTCGCCCAGCAACGGTTTTTACTAAGAGTGGCAAGAGCACAGAGGTGACGGCAGTTATTCCAACAATGCCAGAATATATTAACTCTGGACCTACGCTCTTGTCGTTGGATAAAACGCCCAATAAAAGCCTTGATATGAAGCTGCCTATGCCTAAAGTGGATATACTCAATGACGCTTCTTGTAATGTCGCTCCGTGGAAGTTCATGTAGTCTGGAAGGAAGAGTATGTGCACGGAGTACCCCATTGCAAGAAGAAGCGTGCTGAGCATGAACGCAATAAATGAGAGATCGGAGATGATGGTCTTGTACGTCGGGATGTCGCCGAAAGCCGCGAAGAGAATGGTCTGTTTGGTAGTACGACCGCTTCGCATTTGGGCCTTGCGACTCACTTCATAAGACGATGGTCGCATGATGAGTCCGAATATACAGCAGTGTGACACCAACGCTCCAACAAGCAGGAACGCACCCGGAAGTGCATACCACTCGATAAACTTTTGGACAAGCGGCGGGTGAATGAATATTCCTAGCGCTGTTCCACAGACTGCTATTCCTGAAGCCAGAGCCGTGTCTCGAGGGAAGTAGTATCCTATCACAACCATGGAGCCAACTTGCGCTAGGGCTTGCCCGAGACCTGAAAGGATGATAATGAGTGAGTGAGGGATGTTGAAAGCATCACCCCAGCTATATCATGGCAGCCTGGAAAGATTCAACTCTGGCCCAGGTAAACCAGTGGCAGATAACATGAGCAACGATCGATGTAATCGGGGCACGATGACACGCCATCACGCAGGTGACAGAGTCTGACCACCTGATTTATTTTAGTCGCCCCTGAAAGACAAGCATTGGTTACAACGATAATACTTGTCTTCATTGCCATCTGGGTCTACAGCTGCACATTTAGTCATGGTCGTGATGTGTCCAATAAATTAAAATGCAGTATTTCTATCTGACTTATCTCATAAATTTAAGTCACATATTTTAAAACCCATCATGGCGTCCTCAAACATAAGCAATATTGGTGACTATGCACCTACGCTGACAACGTTCATTCGCCATTGGTGTGAGGGGGAGTGAGTGTTTGGTAGTAAACCATGGTTAGCAAGGTTGCCCTCCCACAGACGGTCTCACTCTTTGTCTCACTCTCTCTGTCTCCTCTTTCAGTCTCACTCTCTATCTCTCTGTGTCTGTCTCCCTCTGTATCTGTCTCTGTCTCTCTCTATCTCTCTGTCTCCTTTTCTCTCACTCACGCTCTCTGTGTGTCTCTATCTGTCTGTCTCTCTATGTCTCCTTTTCTCTCACTCTGTCTCATTTTTGTCTCCCTCTGCGTCTCTATGTGTCTCCCTATCTGTCTGTCTCTCTCTCTATTTCTCTATGTCTCCTTTTCTCTCACTACCTCTCTTTCTCTCTCTATCTCACTCTCTCCCTCTATATATCTCTTTCTCTGTCTCTCTCTGCGTCTCTCCATCTGTCTGTCTGTCTCTCTATCTCTCTCCTTTTCTCTCACTCACTCTATCTCTGTCTGTCTCTCTTTCTCTATCTGTCTCACTCTCTAACTCCTTTTCTCTTAGCCTCACTCTCTCTCTCACTTTCTCTGTCTCACTTTGTCTCTCTCTGTCTCCTCTTTCAGTCCCACTCTCTCACTCTCGCTCTATCCCTGTGTCTCCTTTTCTCTCACTCACTCTCTGTCTCTTTCTCTATCTCCTTTTCTCTCACTCACTCTCTCTGTGTCTCACTCTCTATCTATCTCCTTTTCTCGTAGTCTCACTCTGTCTCAGTCTCTCTGTCACTCTCTGTGTCTCCTCTTTCAGTCTCACTCTCTCTCTCTCTCGCTCTCTCTTTCTCTCTCTCTCTCTCTCTCTCTCTCTCACACACACACACACACACACACACACACACGAGTCATGTTAATCGAGTAGCATGTTACCTGCAATGAAGGCGTACGTGACAAATAATACTTTTATGTCCGTGACGAAAGCACTGACACCAAAGCCCACAAGCCCGAGTATCCCGGACAGGAAGACACAAGTTCTGCAGTCGAGCATGTTGGCCACCAGAGCGGCGACAGGACCTGAAATGTGAAGTTGTATATACTTCAGTCGGCATGTCTGATTCGGAGTGTCTAATTCAATTAATTCAATGCTTCTGTTATGTTGAGTAATGCCAAATGACCAACAATAAACAGTGGAAAGGAAAACAACATCAGGTTACCAATCAATCCTACAACAACGCCACGGGGCACAGGACACGGGTGGCCCATTCGTCTTAGACGAGGCAGGTAGTTGTGCAGAGTTGCGTCCCTTGGGCACACTAGAAACCTGGAATTGTGGGTACGAATCCCTGTTCGAACCGATTATGTTTCAACGTTTGTCAGCACCATACCCTTGAACGTGGGGTGCAACAATGTGGTAAACGTCTGAGGCCTGCATTACTTCGGGCTTTCATCCCACATTAAGCAGACACTCCGTGATATAACTGAAATACTGTTTAAAGCTGCGTCAAACCAAACTCACTAAACATCGCCTGCAGAGTGCGTAAGATGCAAGTCTTGCAAACATTACGCGTTGTAAATCATCTTAAGGAGCATTTGTGTTATATAATATCATTGCACAAAATATACTTAAGGTCCTTCAGTCGTGCAAGAAACCCATCATTGGTTTGAATCCCTGTTCGCCCTATGTTTTTTGGGTTGTCAGCTTCACAACCGTAGGTGGGGCGGTCGGGTAGCCTAGTGGTTAAAGCGTTCGCTCGTCGCGGCGAAGACCCGGGTTCGATTCCCGACATGGGTACAATATGTGAAGCTCATTTCTGGTGTCCCCTGTCGTGATATTGCTGGAATATTGCTAAAAGCGGCGTAAAACCATACTCACTCACTCACTCACTCACTCATAACCGTAGGTTCCACCAAAGCGGCAAACATCTGCAGCCTGCATCACTTCAGGCTTTCCTCCCACATCAAGCTGACGCGGTGATTAACTGATCCATGAAACACGCCAAAGAGACGTTGAACTAAACTCACTCGTGAAGCCACCATTAATGATGATTAACATGCCCACAGTGGCGTTAAACCCAAACTCTCTGCCATTACCTTGTACGTCTTCTTACGATGCCTACCTGCTAATGAAAACATGCAGCTGTTAACAGAGCCCACCCAGGCCGTCAGCGTCACGTCGCCATGGAACCTGTCCAACAGGGCCACGTGGAACACCCCGACAGCGTAGTTCATAGCGGGGTTGAGAAACTGGGTAAGGAAGGAAGCTAACAAGACCACCCAGGCGTACTTGCTTCTGCGTGTACTGTGGACGACAGCAACCGCCGGATATTCTATGTCTACGTCCTCCATGTTCCTGGAAATGTTCACCTAGGGAACTGTCAGTTTGTTTTGCATGTTCCTGTAAGGAAAACAATATAAGGGTTTATCTAAAAGTTTAGTTTGTACCATAAAAATGTATTTTTCAGCATTATTATTACAAAAATTGAAATACATATAATCTTCACCCCAGGGCATTGTACCCTGCACTTGGGTACAGAAGCTCACCTTCTCCTCATATTATTTTTTCAATTTAGTGAATCGAAATATATTTGCAGATGAAAACTACGCTGATATGACATCGGCTCCCGCAATCAGCCGTATTCTGTCTATATGAGGACACGGGTGGCTCAGTCGTCTAAGGCGTTGCGATTCGCTGTGCAGAGTTGCGTCCCTTGGGCACGCCAGAATCCTGTGATTGTGGCTTCGAATCCCGGTTCGCCCCGATTATCTTTCTAGGTTTGTCAGCACCATATACCCGTGCTCGTGGGTTTCACCGAAGTGGTAAACGTCTGAGACCTGCATCACTTCGGGCTTTCCTCCCACGTTAAGCTGACACGCCGTGACATATATATAACTTGAATACTGTTAAAAGCGGCATTAAACCCAACTTACCCACTAACTTTTGAGAAGTTGTGTGAGAACCGCTTTTGGAGTGCAAAAGTCAAATCAAGATGTAACTTTGAAATATATATACGCATCGGGCTATAGCCGATAGAACAATGTAGGTAAGATAAGTCGCAAATTCGACCCATAACAATTTTGAGCCTCGTAATATATGCTGAGCCCAACTATAAACTACATATGAGCCAAAATGACTGAGTATTGGCCATATATAGCTGTTGCAATACTGTTGCCTTGGCGGTTATATTGAAAATTTCAAAGCAGCTTCATTTGTTTAGTTGTTTTCTGAGGAGATGATAGGTCACTGTTTGACACACGCACACACACACACACACACACACACACACACACACACACACACACACACACACACACACACATATATATATATATATATATATATATATTTATATATATATATATATATTGTTCACACAAACACATGTTCTGTAGTTCTGTGACATAGTTCATGATAATGAAATACGTGCTTTAATATCAAATATGGCTGGAAAACACATTTTGTAAAAAATCGGATTTGATTAAATTAATTAAGTCAACTACAGCTTGTAGAAGAAGAAGCCAACTGTATGTAGGCGTCCAGCGCACATGCAAAAGTTACTGATCTAAATAGTAATCTAAATATACAGCAACACATGTAAACGTTATATGCAGTATTATCAGTTTGGATATACAATATGTTTCAAGATGTTACTTCTTAGGATTGTTGCATGCTCTAAGTAAAGAGCAGAATATGGGTATCATTTCTAGAGGTCAAGGGCAATTAATGATGGTTTTCGTGAATACTTTTTGGGTATACATGTATATTGAGCTTTCAAATCACTAAACGTTTAACACGTCAAATTAAATTGAATTTCATTTTTTATACCTGCATACATTTTCTCTCAATTTTATTGGTACCTAATTTTTCTACCTTCATTGATCATAAAATTCTGACAAACCCAATCTAAATCAGAAAATTAAACTACGTAATGTTCGACACGTTAGCTCGAAAAGGTATTTTTCAGGTTCAATGAGACTTTTAAACCATCTGTAGGATTCTTATCGTTAACGTGTGTGAGGGATGAGCTACAAGTACATGTGTTATTACACTGTCCAGTTTATATTGATGTTCGTCAGGTTTTACTTAATACATGTTACCCGTGAAGATCCGGGGTAGAATAGGTCTTCAGGAACCCATGCTTGCCGTAAAAGGCGACTATGCTTGTCGTAAGAGGCGACTAACGGGATCGGGTGGTCAGGCTCACTGACTTGGTTGATGCATGTCATCGATCCACATGATATTAATCACCGTCTGGTCCAGACTCGATTATTTACAGACCGCCGTCATATAGCTGGAATATTGCTGAGTGCGGCGTTAAACAACAACCAACCAAACAACTTAATATATGTAATGAAGCGTGGTTAAAATTTAGAAATGAAAGCGATGTTGTTTACGTTTGTTTTATCTTGGCTCGTTCCAGTGTTGAAGGATCAGTGCCAATTCCTGCACAGCTGATTTCATATCAGAGCTAAACGTGTTTATATTTTCTGGTTTATTCTGTATTATATATATTTAAATTCGTAAGTTGAAGATTCAGGGACCTGTTCACTTTTCAGAAAACTTCAAGTTGTGACGTTTACAAAGTAAACACTTCACGTTTTGACGTTTACAAAGTAGAAACTTCACGTTTTGACGTTTACACGATTTTGGCCGGAACTACTTTTCGGGAATCCCTGAGTGGAACATGGATCTCTTCGAACGGTTTGTACGGTGTACGAGGATCACTGCAGGATCCCCAAGGAACGCCACCTGACCCCAACACATGTCATGAAGACTCAACATCAACAATACCAGGTACGACAGATCAGTCCTATCCGTCAGCACTATTTGACAATACCAGGTACGACAGATCAGTCCTATCCGTCAGCACTATTTGACAATACCAGGTACGACAGATCAGTCCTATCCGTCAGCACTATTTGACAATACCAGGTACGACAGATCAGTCCTATCCGTAAGCACTATTTAACAATACCAGGTACGACAAATCAGTCCTATCCGTCAGCACTATTTGACAATACCAGGTACGACAGATCAGTCCTATCCGTCAGCACTATTTGACAATACCAGGTACGACAGATCACTCCTATCCGTAAGCACTATTTAACAATACCAGGTATGACAGATCAGTCCTATCCGTCAGCACTATTTGACAATACCAGGTACGACAGATCAGTCCTATCCGTAAGCACTATTTAACAATACCAGGTACGACAGATCAGTCCTATCCGTCAGTACTATTTAACAATACCAGGTACGACAGATCAGTCCTATCCGTCAGCACTATTTGACAATACCAGGTACGACAGATCAGTCCTATCCGTAAGCACTATTTAACAATACCAGGTACGACAGATCAGTCCTATCCGTCAGCACTATTTGACAATACCAGGTACGACAGATCAGTCCTATCCGTAAGCACTATTTAACAATACCAGGTACGACAGATCAGTCCTATCCGTCAGCACTATTTGACAATACCAGGTACGACAGATCAGTCCTATCCGTAAGCACTATTTAACAATACCAGGTACGACAGATCAGTCCTATCCGTCAGCACTATTTGACAATACCAGGTACGACAGATCAGTCCTATCCGTCAGCACTATTTAACTTTTTTAAAGATGCATCGACAGATGTGATAACCACTAAATTGGTTAATGCTCTTATGTTACCTTAGGTTAATGATAAATTCCAAAAGTCGTTCATGCTTGTTGCCAAAGAAATTGTCAGTGGTATTGACAAAGATATTGTGGCACCGCCACGGCAGGAAATACTAAGAATTCGCCTCGAGCTGAACAAGAGAACTGACGATCTCGAGCAATACAGTCGGAGAAACTCAATAAGGATAAGTGGTGTTGAGGAGACCCGCGATGAAAATGTCGAGGACGTCGTCATGGACGTTTTGAAAGACGTCCATCCCAGTATCAACATAAGTGACATCGACAGATGTCATCGCGTTGGAAAGAAGAACTCAGGGATCAAGAGACAGATAATTGTAAAATTTGTTAGTTACTGGGACAGAAATAAGGTCATGAGAAATCGAAAATTACTGAAACATACGAAACAATCTGTCTATCTCAACGAGGACCTGTCCCACTACAGAAGCAAATTATTTAAGAAAATTCGTGACTTGAAAAGACAGAAGAAGATCCACGCAACATGGACATATGACGGCAGGATTCACGTATGTGAACAGCCGGAGGAAGCAACTCGTGACATTGAGTATGAGTCAGACCTTATCAAATACAATTGACAAGTCATTTGTGCTAAATTAGAGTGAATGGTGTGAATTCTACTGTGTATGATATTTTAAGTCCTAAGCTGTTCACTGACTAACTCATATTTGAATCATACATTTGTTGTGCATACACATCAAACTCGTTAATATTATATTAACCCAAAAGCAAACATTTACAGATGCTAAGAATGTATTTTGTACCCCTTACACTTGTATCTCTATCCACGCCACGACTACGACTACACATGTATATCTGTACCATCGTGTATATAAGTTGTATATAGTCTCACCTTATGTTATACTGATCCTTTGTGTCTATCCTCATGCACAAACTATATAAGCAACACTAGGTTATATCTTTGTTTCTGCTCACGAAACCATTTTATCATTTTCCACGTATACATTTTATATACCCTTGTATATACAAGTTCACATGCCAATTATACCACCAGTCAGTTATGTCGCCACCCAAAAAGCGCCTGCTTCAAAAATGATTCTGTCATATGGGTAATGACATTGTACAACATCGTGTGGCGATTTGGGTTTTTCCATCTTCCCGAGGCAAGAGAGTTAACTGACTTTAAAAGTCCAGTTTCCAGTTTCCAGTTGCCGAACAAGGCTTGAATTACTTGGCTCGATCGTAGCGCCACCAGTGGCTATTACCAGTTATGTCCCTTCTAAGCCTCTCCTATGGACCAATTAGATTCCACCTGTCGCAACACTTGCGTTTGCTTCACACAAAATGGTGGCGCCGAGTCAGGACGATCTGATCGATAATCAATATCTAAATTGTGATAAAACGGGTCTTACATCGCAAAATGCATGAAATCACGTGAGCACCTTGATTAAAATCAGGAAAAGATGTGGAAAATATCTCCTGACAACGAGTTGTCTGTTCACATGCATTGCAAATACTGCAATCGACCGAAATCTGCACGACAGTTTACGAACCGGATTTCGATTTCGGTGCGCGATTTTGATTGGACTATGCATAGACTCGTTAGTCCAGCCAAAATGTAACTCCATAATACCAGCCTAGTTCGGCAAGGGTTGAAACTGGACTTTTATAGTCAGTTAACTCTCATGCCCCGGTAAATCATGATAAATCGCGATCCTATACTAGCAAAGCTAGCTACAATTCTATCATCAGTCTATT